CAAGTGAGATGGAAAAACTTTCTTGATAGCAGACTTTCAAGATATCTTATTCCTTCCGCGTTGTTCACTATCGTGACGCTGTCGTTCAACTGCCTTATTGGTATGAGCATCATAGTCGAGAGGTACCTGTCTGTAGATTTCTCAGAATTTTTCTTCTGTACTTTTAATTCAATCTCATTCAGGTCTTTTACAAAGAAGACATGAAGCCGAATGAATTTCACGTATGTGAAGGTGCATAGAATTGCTTGCTTATCGTTTTGATATCTTTTGCACTATTAACACTGTTTCTAGCCAGCGAATTATATAAGTGCAGCGGCAGACATAAGCTCGCATCCAGTGCTCACGACCATCTGTACTACTTTGGCAGACATCTTAGTAATTTCGGACATTCCGGCTGCATAAACTAATGAGAATTTTTCTAAAATTCTTTTTGTTAAGTTCGAGCTTTTCCTCATAAAAGCGCTTCTTTTCCAAGCACTCCAGTTTCGCTAATTTGTATTATATTACTTGAAAGTAGTGAAGAAGCTAAACTCCGCTACATTCTTGTTTGCAAAACTGATTCAGCCAATGGATAGTCAAGAATTAATAAAAGTTGCTTGATTGACATTTCTTCAATAGTGCTGTTTATAAACTATAAGGTAAATAATAGGGCCTAGCGTAGAGCAAATAAATGGAATCTAGAAAGATAATGGACAATGGGAGAACTTGCTAAGCAAAGACGAGAGGAATAAGAAATTTGCTATCACATGTTATTTCATCAAAACTCTTCTTCGAATGTACAAATTTTATTGGTTCTGTCTCACATGGGAAAAACATAATGAGCAAAAGTGGAGAACCTTCAATACTCTCTTACGAAACAGTCAAACCTGAACAGAGAAAAACGAAATTTGCAATATCGCAATAGAATATTGTGAAGCTTCTGTCCGAATTCTCTTTGCAGATGGAAAACATCCAGTTGATTTAAACTGCACGAACATGTAATTAAATGAGAATAGCTAGTGCTAATCTTCAATAGGATCCGCACTATAAAAGCTCCATCGAGGACGATTTATCTCTGCTGCGGTGCATGTAGATGATGCGGGGCGCGCGTCAAGGATGGATCCTGCGAAAAATAACCAAATACTACAGTGCTGGCCAAAAATACCGTACAAGGCACTCCTCTACTAATTGTAAACGAAGTTTCCAAGACTTCAACTATCGTGTGCCTTTAGTATGTCTACAACACAAGAAAGAATGTAAAATCTACAATTTTGTACATGCCAATCTGCAGGTAAACTCCTGTGATGCAGGATGGATACTTCTCCTAAACATGCCAGGTCACCTCATGACTTTTGGCGAGATCCGAGAGATTCCAAGGTAATATGGCGTTAAATTGCATTTTGTTCAGCAGAAACTCCAGAGGACTTATTTTTTATAGCTAAATGTAACATATTTGGAAGTAAGTGTAATATTTATGATGTGAAAGTTCTCCCATCAAAAGATATATAACATTGCAGGACATCTAAGATGAACTGTTTTTGTAACTGGAAAAGAAGTACACATACCCATCCAACAACCAAGAAATTCTGCGTGGTGAATGTCTTCTGATTTGTTGCTTTTAACGTAGGCCAAAATCTTGATATTTGATGTAAGAAGGTATAGTAACGTACAAATCTATAATGGGACTATCGCTCAAGTAATTTAGGATGTCTCCTTACAAATTCAAGAATCCACAAGCAATCCAAAATACTCACAAAAAAACTTTTTTCATTACTATCCAATTATGCAGTGCGCGAAATTTGCTTCAACCATATCAAGGTTTCAAGAGTGTAATGTTTGTTTAATTGTTTATATCATGATTCGTCGACGATGTTTTCTGCAGAGTCAATAGCATCAACTACAGAATAACGTTCCATAGGAATCTATCCCATAAAGCTGGCAAGATTACGCGAGCATATGTCAGCAATACAAAGAAACCCATCGACTGTCCCGGAGAAAAAGAAAAAGGAAATTCCCAAAATCAAAACTTCTCGGCTTAGAGTGGGTTATCACTAGTAACTCTTTTATAATACCACACCCCAGATCCCATGGACCAAAAGAAAGATTTTGAGATATTGTTCAATTACAAACCTATTAGTCTTTTCGCTCCCGCCGTCCTTTCTAGTAGAATTTCCTTCCATTCGCTATAGAAAATGAACCTACTATGAGATAATGTGTACTTCCAGATAACCGCAATAAGAGAAGACCTGTCAACTGTCTCCCGGGATTAATAATGCTCTTGTAGAATTTCGCGAAGGATTCTGCAACGAGTAGATCTTCATGCCTCTGTCGACGCATCCTCTGTTGTTATTGTGCAGCAATCTACTTTCCAAATAGCAGTCCAGTCAAAGCTCCCTTGTCGATGTCAAAGTACAGATTAGCCCCACCTAATCACTTCATGATTGTTCTTCGTCTTGAAATAGCAACACTAATGATTGCATCCACACTAGTCATAGATCGCAAAGAAGCTTATATATTTCGAAAAAGTTTCTATGGTCTGATAGTGTCGTCCCCTTTATGGACCAGAAGAAATATATCAATTTTTGAGAAAATCAAGTCAAAATAGTTCTCGACAATGCGTCGGGCTTCCTTCTTCACGTGCCCTGATTTGCACCCTGCAGACGTAAGTACTTAAGGTTATTCAATCTGAAAGTTAATGGAAAATGATTCATAGCAGTACGAACCTAGCTTCTGTTAGAGAAACAAAGCAAATGGCTGAAAAAGCAATAAATGCGCAGCACGAAGATGCTCCCATCCATTTCCAAGATGTAAGTCCATCACAGAACAACCTCAAGTCTCTAATCTCTTACTAAGCTTCAACATGCATAATCGTTGTATTCCCTTTCCGACCCAGCTATAAGCCAGTATTATCTCTTTATTAGTGGAGAAATTTCTATGGAAGTGTCACGGACGTATCGGAACGCAAACTTATTACTCGAAAATGTCATTCCAGATTTTCTCCCATGCGGAATTCGATCAGAACTTTTTACTATATATCTATTGTACTCGCAATTATTGAGGAGTGAACAAACTCAACATCTGAAGGGAACGAGTGTGGATAAAGGATGCGCTCCTGTAAAAAAAGGCTCTTTACAAAAA